ACACAGATGACAGCTGAGCTGTGAGATGGCGAAAACTGGAGACCAGATGGTGTCTTGAGTACCTGGATGTAACCACGTGTTAAATTGGTGGAATCCTGGGCACTTATTTTGCGTGGACCTAGACTTTCCCTTTTTTTCCCCTTATAGAAGTTTGATTTGAATCGTCACCTGCTGCCAGAAGTGTCTTAATTAATCCATGTCATAAATGGTATATCATTCGCTTACCAAAAAATAAATAAATAAATAAATATTTAGGCAATTTAACCCAAGGACACATGATTTGTCCACACATCTACAAATAAGAGTTGATGGTTTACATACTCCTAATGACTTTCAAAATTACTAGGTGGTATTAATTGACTATTGAAGCCAGACTTAAAGATAGGTAATTAGTGTAGTTAGTTAAATTGGGTCCAATATCGAGTACAATAAGGAAAATGAAGACCACATCAAGAATGGAGTTCAGGAAACCAGAACAACGCCAGGGGAAATTAAAATGTTAATGTCCCCAAGGCCCAGAACCTATCCTAAAGAACTGTTAAAGAAGTAGCTCCCAGCAAACAGGGAGGTGCTAATCAAACCACCCCAGGCCCCTCCTCCCCACCCCATCAGCTTACCTATCTCCCACCTTTTGACCTTCCCACCTGCCTTTCTATCACTGCAGGATAGAGGGAAACAAAGGACAGGAATGTGGGAAGACTAAAAAAAGACCTTAGATATAAAAAAGGGAAGATCTCCCCTTTCCACGATTCTGCCTTTAGAGTCCCTTTCTTCTTCCAGGAGGAAGTCTTTTATGATATCCTTTAATAAAGCCTTCCACTTTCCACTCTACACTTGCCTCGGCATGCTCCTCTGGTGTTGTACTTCAGCATAGGGGGAAGTAAGAACCTGTCACCGGTAAACAGTGGTAACACTATGACCAAGTTTAAAACTAACCACTGCACATTTGAGTCCTTTATTTTAAATTTTACAGGGAGATCCTTTTCCAACTTCTCCTCATCAGCTTGTGGCAAAAGCAAGGACTTCCTTGACAAAAATTGAATCTGCCATTAAGACTTCTCAGCCTTCTAGAATTAATCCACAAGAACCTATATATTTATTAACATTTCCCACTGTTCATACCCTTAACAGGAGAAATATGGCAGTCATTGAAAATTATTGAATGACTTCCCCTAACTCATTCTCCTCAAAAGTTGTTGGCTCCATTCCCTGATTTTATTGCTCAGTTATTAAAGGAAGAACACTAGTTTTACAATTGGTTGAGTCAGAGCCTAATATTATTGTTACTTCTTTTTCTACTCAACCGCATGGTTGGCTCTGGCCATCTTCCAATATTTGGCAAATAGCTTTTGCTAATTTTCCTGGTCAAATAGTAAGCCATTACCCTCATAATAAGGTTATTCAGTTTGCTTTTGTAACTACATTTTCCCAAAATCATACATGCTCAACCAATAGTTGGAGCAATCACAGGATTTACTGATAGCTCAAATGGGTTTCTTTAGCCATGCTCAGACTTGTTTCTGTCTGTCAACAAATGTCTTTATATGGTTGTGCACAAGCCTTCATTCTTTGCATCCTCAGAAATCTTCTAGTTTACATTAAAAATTTAATATTACTAGGGAACAAGCTCTTCAAATTGTTTTCCAGTGCCCACAATGTGTTACATATATTCTATCTTCACTAACTGCAGTTAATCCCCGTGGTTTATGACAAAATCAGTTATGGCAAATGGATGCAACACACTTCCCTCAGTTTGGCAAACATTGTTACATTCATATTATTCTTGATACTTTAGATTTATTTTTGCCACTGCCCATGTAAAATAAAATATTCAACATATTAAAACTGATAATGCTCTAGCTTATACTAGTCCTTCTTTCCAGCAGTTTTGCCATCAATTTTATATTGGTAATAAAACAGGTATTTCTTATAAGCCTCAAGGCCAAGCCATTGTAGAACAAGCTTATTTATCTATTAAGCTACAATTACAAAAAAACAAAAAGGGGGAAATAAGATCCCACAAAATAATCTTAATCTTGCTTCGTTTTAAATTTTTAAAATTGTGACTCTGAAGGTCACACTGCTGCTGAGAGATACATGTCTTCCACTGCAACAGGTCCCTTGGGCCTAGTTTTGTGGAAAGATTTACAAACATGACAATGGAAAGGACCAGATCCAGTGATAATGTGGGGTAGAGGGAATGCTTGTGTTTTCCCAGAAGGTACCTTTTGTCCTATTTGGGTACTTTAACATGCCATCTGACATGGAGGATCTAGAGCCAAGCTTCAAATGACTGAAGATTGATCAAGAGATGTCAGTCATAAACCCCAGCAGAAAGAGGAAGGTAGAAGGGAGGAGAAAGATGAAGAAGTCCCAGAGAGACCGAATAACCAAACTACCATTGCAAAAACAACTGAAGAATCTGATGCAACAAGCTCTGAACAGATAGTTCAACAAAAAGGAGAAACTAAGTCTCCAGCCACAACGTTTGTGGCCATGATAGCACTATTGAGCTGTCTGCTAAGTGAGGTCCATGGAGAAACCTATTGAACATATTTTCCAGATCTACCTTTAGTACACCCAGCGATGCGGACTGGAGAATCCATCCCAGTATATACTAATGATAGTCATATGATGGGTGGTTTTACAGACACTCATATTATTCTCATCCAAGTGACTGGATTTAATTATACTAGTTACAGTGGACAACTAGCTATATTTTGGTCCCATGATAAGCATGCTGGCTGGCTCAGGGTATCTTTTGAGAAAAGACAGCATGGGGGGTGGGCTACGCTAGCCAATTGTTCTGGCCCCTGGGACTCAAGGCCGTATGTCCAAACAGTTATTAAAATGGGACTTTCTCACATCAAGCCAGTCATTTCTGTAGAATGTTCACCAATACCTTACTGTCCTAATTATTCTGTAATAGAATTTTGTACCTTTCCTAAATGGATGGAATATGCAAATGTCTTGTCAGTACAACTCAAAGTTTCTAGAAATAGTAGGTATATCTTAGACTGGTCTCCAAGAATTGTTAAAAGACAATTATGTAAGGATGCCATGACACCTGATAATATTCTAACCTTCAGTGAGGTAGTATCCATAAAGATCTTGGGTGCTTACTTGCAGCCTCAGACTTCCTACATTAAACTGATGGCCCTATGCCTGACTTTATAGGCAGGAATTGCAAAGAGGGTTCCTGCTATGGCCTATGAGCCTGTGTTCAATCTCCTAGAAATGTAAGATTTAAGAAGAAGGATGATAAATATCTTGCAGCTTGTAAAAAATGCAATCTAATTTAACTTCATCACTAGATTTAACAGAGGGAAAGAAACATTAATTCTTCACCAACCCTCCTTTGTCTTACTACCAGCCAACATTTCAGAACCATGGTATGCTGATGCTCATGTTCAAGTTTTCAGATCAACAGATGCATGCTCAGTTAACAGACCCAAGCGAACTCTTTGTCTCATAATTCTTGAAGTGGCTGCTTTAATTTCATTCATCACTCCTACAGTCACAGCTTATACTAGTCCTTCTTTCATGGGACAAAAATATTTAACATGCAAATTTTCTTAATAATTTGGCTCAGAATAATTCCAAAGTCCTCCATAATCAGATAGATATTTATGAAAAGATTAAAACTAAATTGAATGTTTTAGAAGCTATTGTCATAAATATTGGTAATGAACTTTCCATTCTCGAGTTTAAGGAAAGGCTTAAATGTGATGCTGACTATAAATATGTCTGTGTCACTGCAGCCAAATATAATGCTTCCCAGTAGAATTGGAAAAGGTTAAAAAGCATCTAATGCATATATGGCATATCAATACTAATAGCCTGGATCTTATGGCATTACATCATCACATCCAGGATATTTAAAAAAGCAAAATTGATTGTATGGATCCTACATCTCTAGGTGATCAAATACTTCAAGTACAGAATGGCTTTAATCCTGGAACATGCTGAAATATTCTGCATGGTATATTATTGGAATGATATGTTTGCTACTAATTCTCTTTTGTATTGTAATAATAGATTGTTGTACCCTCAGAACAAGAATCTGGGAACCAAAACAACAACTCATAGTTTAAATTTGCAAAGTAAAAAAGGGGAGTATGCAGGAAGCCATCTGTGAAATACATGAGGGCTTCTCTTGGCATGGAAGTCAGGGAGGGAATAGTTCTAGCATTGGAATCTTCCCGTGGCTCTCCCATCGTGACAGACCACCCAATGCATGTGACCTTCCCTTCCACTCTGCTAGAAAGTTCCCCAATATTTGCACCAGAGATGGGTGTAACTCATTAGGAACTGAGCAGCCTGCCTGTTCTCATTTATAACCTGTTTTGGTGAAGAACATTCTATAGAATTTTTTTGATGTCTTCTGATTAAATAAAGGAGACATGTGCTCCTTTGTGTATTAAAAGCTAGATCCGTCTGGTCAGCTTGCCTATCCTGCCTGTGCTTTGAAACTACTTTCTGTGTTCTGTGATTATTCCACCATTTTATTTCTCTTAGTCTTTATTTCCCCGCCAGCCCATTCCACCAGAGGGAACCCCCTTTCCACAGCCTGTGCAGGACATGGGCGGTACCAAGCATTCCAAGGGCTGAGGAGAACACAGAATGCAGCACCTGGACCGGGTGTGGAAGGTGAGCTGAATAGGGTGGCCCCTTCCCACTCGTAACCTGACCTTGAAAAGCTCCTCTGCAGCCATGTTAAAAATACATTTCTGGAACTGGGGACACAGTCCTGTAACAAAATGCCTGAGACTACATTAACAAATAAATAAATAAACCTGGGCCTTGAAGTTAGGCAAAACCTAGAGCCAGTGGAGATTCATGGTGGTTAGAAATTCTAGAGGGCGCTATGGCCATGTGAGAGACTGGTTCAGAGACTCAATTCTCAATTTCTCTCTCCTTTTTTTGTGGGGGTGGGCTATGGGGGTGCACTGGGGATTGAACCCATTTAATATACCATTGAGATAGATCCACAGCCCTTTTTATTTCTGATAAATGAGAGAAGATCCTGCTAATTTGCTGAGGCTGGCCTCAAATTTGAGATCCTCCTGCCTCAACCTCCTAAGTCACTGGAATTACATGTGAGCACACCATGCCTGGCTGAATCTCCTCTTAATTTGGATCTCACCCAGGAAAGATGCCCAGCTGCTGCCAGAATCGCTACAATCCCTGGGATCAGCACCTGTGGGACAAGAGTCAGTCAGTTGATAGTGTGAACCCTCCACCCCAGCCCAGATCCTCAAGGTCTTCACCTCCTATGGAAGCTGCCCATGGTGTCCTCAACCCTTTGGACTATAGGAAGACCTTATATCTACCTATCCTGGAACATTGTTGGGTTCTACCTCGATTTATCATTATTTATATGCCTACCTTATTTTGGACCATAATGTAGGTCCCTTGAGAATTGGGTTCACTATTAAATATTCCCCATAAACTTTGCCTTTCTGAATGGGAATCAGGAGGTCCTGGGTTGAAGGCTAGGGCCACACTACTTCACACTCAATGAACTGATTGCTTTCTCTGGGTCTCAGTTTTGCCCTGTGTAAAATGGGTTGGTAAAATCTGCCTCAGAGAGTGGTTCTTAAGATTTACAGCAAATGCTCCTTAGTTATAAATGCCTTCAGTAGTGGGAAGAGGAGTGGTATTGGAAGGTCTGGTGAGCTAGGACATGGTGGAGTGTGAAAGAATATGTTCACAAATGCTGAGATGTGGATTGTGAGATTTCCTTAGATCCAACCCCTGATTTTTTTTCTTCCTGTGACTTTTCCCAAAGGAAGTCTACCCTTCCAGGAACGATTGCCTCTATAGACACTGGTACATGCCTAGAGATCCAAATCCAACTACCTGAAGGATATGCTTACTCAAATATCTTGGTTGTAACTCAGATTCAGCCTACATCATATGACCTCATAATATTTACCAAATTTATCTCCCTTAGATTTCCTCATCCTTATATAGTTGAAAAATGTCACCTACCAGGTCACCTAGGATGAAAAACTTTAGTCCTTCTGCACCGAACCAGACCTCAAGTCTTCTTGAGTTTTCCTTCAATGGCTCCTGAATCTATCAGTCCTTTCTCTTTCTTCTCCCGTTTAATTCCTAATTACATTCCATGTGGAAGATGTTCTCAGCCTCCCTACTAATTTCTTGTAGCTCTTTCCCTATGCCACTTCACACTTTATGCTACATGCCATCACCAGATTAAACTTATTCTTGCCAGGGTGCAATGGAGCATACCTGTGAACACAGCGGGTCAGGAGAAGAGTAGTTAGGCTGGGTGGAGAAGTGGGGGGTTGTTTAGGTGGAGAAGGGACATGATGTGACACTGAGCAAGTGTGTAGCCTTGGGGGAGTGTGACATCTCAGAGAGTTCAGGTCAGAGAGCTGGAGTAGAGTCCAACAGCCATAAATCCATGCAACAGATGGGGAGTAGAAGAGACCTCAGAAGGTAAGAGGGAGTTGCTGGATAAAGGAGAGGTATCCCACTTAGCTAATAGAGGTGTGACCTGGAAAAGGGATAAGGTGAGACGCCTTCTAGAAAATGTTATCTGTTATCTGTCCTGAAAAGAGGAAACCTATGCTGGGTAGATGTCTCATCTTTACCCCACAAAAATATGACACTAGTTGACCATCTAAAACTTCCTCTAAAGGAGGAAAGACTTAGAGGAATAGATCCAGGAAGTCTGTGTCCCGACTTCCTTCACTTCTCCCAACAGGTCCTCATCTCCAGGAAGCCTTGGGGGCAACTTCTCTGCCCAACTGACCTGCATCTGAGTTTACCCTTAGCACCCAGCACAGAGTGAGCATCCAGAATGTGGGCTGAGAGTGAGTGGATGAGGAGGAGGGAAGGGCAACTCTGAGCTGATAGATATTGTGACTGATGGGTGACATCACTGCCTGGCTCTAGACCTTTTTGCTGTACCCCTTATACCTATTATTACCCTGCCCTGATAACCTCCCACACAACCAGCTGCTCCTTCTGCTTGGACCCTTGTAGTGAGGGGTCCCCAACATCTGCTCAGCCGCAGAGGCAGGGAGGGTCAGGTAGGACATGCTTTGACTCAGAAGGGAAGCTCTTTAGAGACTTGAGCCTCCCCTCCCTGCCTTCCCCTTCCCTTCAGGCATTCAACTCAGGTCTTTGGGGGCTCCTGCAGGGCTGCCTCCAGAGTTCTGAATGTATAGGGGGAGAATTGGTTACTTTCCTAGTCCCCACCAAGCACTTGCCATTTCCTCTGGAGGGCTACTTTTCTCTCTCTCTCCCCTCCCTTCCCATTCAGAACCCCTTACAGTGGTGCCCAGGCCCCGGATCACCAGCCTGTGCTCTAGACTCTTCACCATCAATCCCCCGCCGATGAAACCAGGCATGAGCAAGTCTTGCACGCTGAGTTGGTCACTGCTCCAGGTCTTCCCATCAGGAATCAATAGGAGGACATTTTCTACAATGCAGACTAAGGAAAGAGGTATTAGGGAGAGCCCCATACAGTGGGCACACATGACAAGTCAGTGAGTGAAAGTGAGTTTGAGGTTTTTGGGTTCAGAAAAAAACAAGTGGGAGCATGAGTAAAGGTCAGAGAAGAGGTGTGGTAGAAACTGGCAGGACCAAGGTGATAAGGGAGAGAGGCCCTGTGGAGGTGGTGGAAGCTTTGGGGCTGCAGTTGGTGACGGGAGTGTGGTGATGAAACAGGTAGGGGAGCTAGTCACACACTGCAAGTTGCCTGGTATCAGTGTCTTTATCCTCTTTTCTGAACACACTCTCCATAGTCCCCCTTTTATTCTTTATCTGTTTAAAGACTTGACCAAGCCATTTCATGTCTCTAAGTCTCAATTGCCTCATCTCTATAAAGGGTAGAGTTCCTCCTGAGCTGGTTGTAAGGCTTCCATAGGACAAGTAGAGTATTCTGTAAACCAAGCAGCACAGAGGAGATGTACAGCGGCCTCATCATTTCCATCTGTCACACAGAGAGAGTTCCTCCCAGAAAGAAATGAAAAAGGTGACAGCAGGCTTCAGTTTTCTTTTTATTTTATATTCTTTTTTTTTTTTTGTACCAGGGATTGAGCTCAGGGGCACTTAGCCACTGGGGCACATCCCCAGCCCTTTTTTTGTATTTTTTTTTATAGATAAGGTCTCACTGAGTTGCTTAGGACTTTGCTAAGTTGCTGAGGCTGGTTTTTAACTCATGATCCACCTGCCTCACCTGCCCAAGTGCTGGGATTACAGGTATGCACCATAGTGCCTGGTTTCATATCATATTCTTAACATTTGTTTGTTGATCCCTTTTTTTCTGTTTCTCAGGGTAGACTTGAGACTGAGGCCTGTTTTGTTAGAACATTGTATCCTCTGGCTTAATGTTTGACTCAGTGATCGTTGTACACTCCAAGCCAGTTCCATGAAGAATACATTTTCAAAATTTATTTATTTGTGTTGCTGTTGTTGTTCAGCATTCTGAGGTCAAGGAAATTCTGGGATTTTTTTCCCTGCAAGGTGCTGAGGTGCTGGTGGCCTGTTTTCACCATGAGGTAGTAGGACCTGCCTGCTTGAGCAGGAAGTCAATCCAGAGGAAAGAACAGTTGAGAGACAGAGTGAGGTGTGATGATATCATTTGAATCTGCAGATCACTCTTTGGAACCTTTTTTTTTTTTTGTATTAGGGATTGAACCCAAAAGATCTTAACCACTAAGTCACATCTCTTCTCCTTTTTTGTGTTTTATTTACACATAAGATCTTGCTGAATTGATTAGGGGCTCCATAAATTGCTTAGACTGACCTTAAACTCACAATCTTCCTGCCTCATCTTCTTGAGTTGCTGGGAATCTCGACATGTGCCATATACTCCTTGGAACCTTTTTTTTTTATTTTATATTTGTTCTTTTTAGTTATACATGACAGTAGAGGGTAAATTGACATATTGTGTATACATGGAGTATAACCTCCCAATTTTGTGGTTCTACATGATGTAGAGTTACACTGGTCATGTATTTATTTATAAACCTTTTGGAATCTTTTGATGATGTGAATTGGTTTGAATTTTGTTTCTGTCAGCTACAGGGTAAAGAATAGTTTTTGATACAGAGATTAATTCATTAAACCCTGGCTTCATTAGTGTCTATGGTAGAGTTACAGGGATTCAAGTTTAGGACAGAGACCCAGCTTAGTGTCAGGCACAAACAGGAGTTTTCAGACCCCTGCAGAATTAGCCTACACCAAGTAGGATGTGGTAGTGCCCATGGAAGAGATGAGGGTAACAGTAAAGATTGCTGGACTTCACAGGCATGCAACTAAAATTGGTACCACACGGAAGGTGGTAACCAGTCAGGGAACTCTAATATAGCTTCTCTCAAAAGCCCACTCAAAGCACTAGAGATGTAGTTAAGGGAGAAAACTTACTACTAAAACCGAATGCCAGAATCGGAGGGGAATCCTTGCTGTTTATAAGAAAGAGAAGCTGGATGGAGGAAAAGCTATGAAGAATTGACCTCTTGAGTGAGAAGGGACTGGAAAAAAAGAAAATACTTAGAACTTTGCCCAATCAGTTGCTTCTGACTCACAGGCAAACACTGTGAAAACTGATACTTGGGTTTTCATTCTGTTGGCTTGTTTAATGCTTTTACAGTATTTCCATGCTGCTTATGATATCTTCTGTACTTTTTCTTTAAATTTTTTACATTCTTCTATGTATAATAAATCTGAATAGCAGTTATTATTATTATTATTATTATTATTATTATTATTATTTGTGTGTGTGTGTTGCTAGGTATTGAACACAGGGTCAGGTAAGTGCTCTACTACTTAGCTATATCCCCAGCCCTACTGGTTACTTTTAAATATTGCAAACAGTATCCTTTAACTTGCCTCTCCCTGAGAAACTTCAGACTCTCATTCCACAGCCTCCTTTGAGGGGTTCTATACAGATGATTCACCATGCCTAGAGCCATACGACCATGTGATCTGTAGTAAAAATGGAACTGTTCATTGTAAATCTTCAAACTTCCCTGTATCCATGTCCTTTGCTTTGCTATTTAATTGTCCCCCTGCCCACTGTCAACTCAGAAAGAGGTAGAATACAACTCCCACTATGTGGGAAGAATATAAAGTGGGCATACTCAACAAGATACTGGTTCTGAGCCTAGGCCCAAAGAGATATTGTGTACTGCAACTTCCCACTATCATGGCCATGAGAAGAACATGCCTGAGTTAACTCATTGATAAAAAGAAGGTGTAATATACAATGAAGAGGTCCAGGTTGGATTCCAGCCAAGAACAACCCACCTCCAATCAATCCATGCACGGATAAGTGAAATAAATGCTTATGTTTGATTGTTACTAAGACTGTGTGGGAGTTTTCCTTACACAGCAATAGCTGCCTAGCACAAACCCTATTATGCAGGCCACAGCTGACTGAGTCACAAACTAGTAGCTGATATGCAGTCAGGCAAGCATGTTGCCAGAGACTTAGGAGATTGCTGAAGGTGAGAGCCCTGCTGAACAGAAGTAACTCTCTGCATGATCACTCAGCAATTAACTGGATCTCATTCATGGGAAATATGTCTATGAGGCAACCTGAGAGAGACATTAGAGAAGGAGTCCCCAAACTAACAAATGTATGAAGGAAGGCAGTGAGAAAAAGCCACAAGGCAGTAGAATCACAAATGATCAGAAAGTGCAATAGGAGAATTGAATAGAGAGGTACCATTCAGGAAGAGCACAGGAGGAAGGAGCATGTGGACTGGGAGGCAGAGATGGAGAATCTGGATCCTGGGGTATGTGGGTGGGAGGTGAAAATGATGAGAGATAGAGCAAGGTCACCAGAACTAATGTTGAACTACAAGACCAACTGTCCTATCCTGAATAGTGGGCCTTCCCAATGTAGAACTGAAGAGGGGTCCTGATGGACTAAGAGTGGGCCCTGAGCAGGTCACACATTTGTCTTCAAGTTGATCACTAGTGAGTGTAAAAGATGAGACTTCTCTTTTTTTTGGATTTGAGGCTTGAACCTAGGGCCACTTAACCCCTGAGCCATATTCCCAGACCTTTTTAACTGATACGGGATCTTGCTAAGTTGCTTAGGACCTCATTAAGTTGCTGAGTTTGGTCTCAATCTTGCAATCTTCTGTTTCAGCCTCTCTCTGAAGTTTCTGGCATTACAGGCATAAGTCACTGCACCTGGCAAGATGGTACTTTGTCTGAGGACAAGGGTCCTCCAAGCCAGGTATCACTCATACTAGGCAAATACTCTACCACTGAGTCACATCCCCAGCCCAAGATGGTACCCCTTTTGAGGACAAGTAAAGGGAGAAAAAGTTAATTGTGTGTGGGGATGGTGGTCCACAGATACTCATAATATTATTTTTATGCAACTCTGTGTGAATGAAATGTTAATAATGTTTCAAAACATTATAGGAGTTCTGAAATATTTCTTCAAAAGAAGGGGAGAACACATCATCCCAAAGACTAAAAGAAAGAGACAGATCTCTGAAGAAATATTTACTGTGGGATTTGGAAGAAATTTTCAGGAAATTTCATCACTGGGATTCTGCAAGTAAGAGCCAGAAAGAATGGCTGAAATGAAAAGGTGCTAGTAAAGTAGGTGTGGTGATGCACACTTGTGTCTCAGCAACTTGGAGGCTGAGGTAGGAGAATTGCCAGTTTGAGCCAGCCTGGCAATTTAGTGAGAACTTGTCTCAAAATTAAACAAAAAGGGATGGGAGTGTATGTAGCTCAATAGTGTGGTAAAGCACTTGAATCACAAATGATCAGAAAGTTCATGTGTGAGGGCATGTGTGAGGCCCTGGGTTCAATAATCTCCAGTAGTGAAAATAAATCAATAATAAAATTAACAAATAAAACATAGTAACCATGCAATGGAAATAATCCTTTTCTTTAAAAAATTTCATTTTCCACCCCTGGAATGTCAAGTTTTTTGAGAGCATAGAAATCATCCGTCTTCTTTACCACTGTATTTCCTGCACAACTTAATAGCTCAGTAACTGTGAAAAAAAAAAAAAATAACAGGTTTGTGTGTGGGTGGGGCGGTGGGGCTGCAAACAGGGTCAGGAGAACACCAACCTCAGGAGACTCTCACACACTCCTGCTGGCTTAGGGCATCATCTGAGCAGGGAGGGTTGGGGGTGGACTCAAAACCATTTATTCTAGGCAAGCCAGGGACTGTGGAGGCCAGGCAGGGGTCCAGGAGCATGTAAGTATAACCGGGCGGCCAGTGGAGTCTCAGTGAGCTGAGCTCTGCGGAAAAGAGAAAGTGAGTGAGGACGTAGCCAGGAGCAAGCCGGTCCCTCCACAACTCCATCTCACGCTGTCCCACCTTTTTCCTGCAATCGCCACAAATGACACCAACAGTAGCGTTCACCAGCTGTATGCCACACAGCACGATCTCCAGACACGAGGCAACCACCAGCAACGAGAAAAGCGTCAAATTCCAGAGAACCACGTTGGGTGGCTCCTCGCACAAATACCATTGAGTACGGTTGAACAAGTAAGCGCCTCTGTGGACAGGTGGGGTCAAGCGAGTAAAGAAGAGAACGTGGCGCCCCCCTTCCCCCTCCCCCACCCCCATCCCCGTACACGCGCCCATTGGGATTTGCAAAGGGTTAGTTAGACCCACGTGGAGGGAAATCAGAAGCTCGGTGGCACCCAGGTTTCCCCGCCCACCTGGGGAGGCCATGGGAAACAGCGAAATGCAGAGACTGAGGGGTCACGAACACAGGCTAAGCCTTACTCGGTTTCTCGGAAATGGTAGTCCCACTTGTCATCCACTAAGCATTTGGGTCCAGTTTGGAGGCCAGCTCCTGACACGCCAAGGCAGTAGATGGCGCCAAGCACTCCAATGGCCGAGGAGAAGATAGAACGCAGCATCTGGACCCGGTGTGGAAGGTGGGCTGAATAGGGCCGCCCCGTCCCCACTCGTGGCCCCACCGTGCCTAGCTCTGTCACCGCCCCCCCCTCCCATGGCCAAACTCCTCTGGAGCCAGGTTAAAAACAGATTCCCAGAGCTGGGGATGCAGTCCTGTAAAAGAATGCTTGAAAATACATTTTCCTATAAACCCAGGACTTGGAGTTAGGCAAAACTAAGGGCCAGCAGAAATTCATGAGGGTAAGGAATTCTACAGAGGATGCTGTGGCCCTGTAAGAGAGAACTAATCCTAAATCCTTCTTTTTTCTTGCAAGGAGAAGGGGTACTGGGGATTGAACCTCCCAGGAGTACTCTACCACTGAGCTACATCCCCAGCCCTTCTTATTTCTTCTTGAAGAGACAGAATCCAGTTAAATTGCTGAGGCTGTCCTCAAACTTGAGATCCTCCTGCCTCATTCTCCAGAATCACTGGGATTACAGATGTGCATCACCACACATGGCCCAATTCTCTTTTTAATTTAGATCTCACCCTGCAGCGATTCCCACAGCAGCCTGTTCCACAACAGCCCTTGCCCCCTGCCCGAACCGCAGCGATTCCTGGACACAGCACCTGTGGGACAAGAATCAGTGTGATAATGTGAACCCTCCACTCCAGCCCAGATCCTCAAGGTCTTCACCTCCTATGGATGCTGCCTATGGTGTCCTCAATCCTTTGGACTATAGGAAGATCTTATCTCTACCTGTCCTGGAACGTGCCTATCTTAACAAAACTTTATTTATATGCCTATCTTAACTCTGTCCATATTGTAGCTTCCTTGAGGGTTCGGTTCAATATTAAACAGTTCCCATAAATCTTGGCACATAGTAGTTGCCTTTCTTAATGGGAATCAGGAGGCCCTGGGTTGAGGGCCAGGCGCACATTATCTCACACTCGTGAACTGATTAGTTTCTTTGGGTCTCAATTTTGTTCAATGTAAAATGGGTTTGTAAAGCCTACCTCACTCACAGTGATGTGCTTAGGATTGAATGAGATAACTGGTGGGCCTGGTGTCAAGACTGCTTTAGAGTAAATGCTCTTTAGCTATAAATGTCTTCAGCAGTGGGAAGAGGTAGTGGTGTTGGAAGGTCTGGTGAGCTAGGATATGGTAGAGTGTGTTCACAAATGCTGTGATGTGGGCTGTGGGATTTCCTAAGATCCAGCCCCTAATCTTTTTTTCTTCCTGTGACTTTTCTCACAAAGTCCATCCCCTCCCAGGGAATCAGCTACTCCCTCTGCCAATAGTCACCTCCACATGCCTGGAGATCCAAACCCAACTGCCTGAGGAAGGTGTTCAAATATCTTGGTTTTAGCTCAGATTCAGTCTCACAAGTGACCTCAAAATATTTTCCAAATAAATCTTCCTTTGATTTCCTCATCCTCATGATTGAAAAATATCATCCATCAGGTCACCTATGATGGAAAACTTTAATCCTTCTGCATCCAGCCAGACCTCAAGTCTTCTTGAGTTTTCCTTCAATGGCTCCTGAATCTATCAGTCCTTTGTCTTTCTCCCCCATTCAGTTCCTAATGAGGTTCCATGAGGAAGATGTTCTCGGCCTCCCTACTAAATTCCCATAGCTCTTGCCCCATGCTGTTGCACACTTCATCCTTCATGCCACCACCAGATTAAACTTGGTCTTGCCGGGATGGGGTGGTGCACACTTGTGGCAGGTGGATGCAAATTCAAGGCCAACCTTGGCAACTTATGGAGACCTTATCTCAAAATAGAAAATAAAGGGCTGGGGTTGTAGCTCAGTAGGAAAGGGCTCCTGGGTTTGATCACCGGGAGCAGGGACTTCTTCAGTTGGTTTTCTTTCTGCTGAAGTCCTTCAGAGAGGATCCTCTCAATACTGAATCCTAGCAAGTCCTTTGAGGCTCCTCACTCTGCCTCCAGCCTTGTCATTGTCTTCATAGCCCAGGCCAGGTTCTTTGTTCATCTCCCATCCCTGGAATTCATCGGCTGTTTTGATCCTTCCTTCCTGTTGGTTTTGTCTGGCATACACAATACAAGGCAGCGTTTTGTTCTTTTGCAGGGAAGGGGCTGAGAGTTTTAGTTCTGTTTTATCATCCTCAGCAACCACAGAGAAGCACCAATGCATTGATTATTTGCAATAATGAGTAGAACCAAATTTCCACCAGCACTCTCACTCCCCTCCTCCTATGTCCTGGCAGATCCAGGGCCAGTGCTGACCCCCATTTCTTACCCTCTCTGGTGAGATCAATTACTGGGAGTTTCCAGGATCCAAAGATACCTAGAATTGTCTCTGGTCTTACTAATGTGTGTGTGTGTGTGTGTGTGTGTGTGTGTTTCTGGAAATCGAATCCAGGGCATTGCCATGCTGGGCAAGTGCTCTACCACTGAGTTACAGCCCCAACCCAGATTTACCCACTTCAAATGACTCACCTGTTTGAGAATATTACTTTTGGTCAAAGTATTTGCTTCCTTTGGTGGTCTAAACTTCCCTCTCTTGTTCTCTGCCGTCTAATTGTCTTCATTAGAACCGACATCATAAATTCAGGAGGCAACACTGTTTATAGCTCAAAACTGCTCATTTTTCTCTATTACCATGGCCACTGGCCTATTTCAAGATACTGTCATCCCTCCATGACATTAGTCTCATCTTTCTGCATCTATGGCTAAGCTCCTGCTATCAATTCTCCTCACTAATGCCAAAGGGATCTACTTCAATCCAGTGATGTGTGGAGCAACTAGAACTCTCACACTGTGCTGATAGGAATGAATTGATACAAAAACTCCAGCAAATTATTTGCCAGTGTTAGCACTGACTATTGCAAACCTTAAGAGTCAGCAGTGTTATTCACCTAAGGCACTTACCGGAAGGATGATGTCAACATTATTTGCAAAAAACCCAAACTGGGAACTGCCCAAATATAGAGTGTAATTTAAATTGAACCAACAATAGAATGTAATTTAAATTGAAGTATGTTCACATGACAGAATGCATAAGAAATTAAAAACTTGAGCTACACAAAGTAACATAGATGACTCTCACAAATATTATGCTAAAGAAGCCAGACACAAAAGAACACATAGTGTATGATTTCATTTCAAATAGATTACTGAAGAGGTCAAAGTAGTTTCTGGGGTAAGAAGACAGAATAATGATTACCCTTGTTGGTGGCGGTAGTACCTGGTGAGAGGCATGTGAAGGATTCTGGTAATAATGACCTGTATTTTTTTACTCACTTGTTTTATGAGATGGGGTTTTGCCATTTTATCCAAGTTGACCTGGAACTCCTAGTCTCAGCCTCAAGATCCTTCTGCTTTAGCCTCCTGGGTAGCTGGGACTATAGGTGCGTGAATTAACAGTTTTTTTGATCTGGGTGCTGGGTATGTGGATATGTCCGCTTAGTAAAAATTCACTGAGCTGGGATTGGGGATGTAGGGCATGTACTTAGCATTCACAACCCCTGAGTTCAATCCCCAGTGATTGTGGGTCCCCCACAAATAACCACCCCCCCCAAAAAAATCACCCAAAACAAAAATCCCCAACTTCTTCCCTAGGAGCTCTTAATGATAACTTGCTTTTCCTTCCTTCCTTCCTTCCTTCCTTCCTTCCTTCCTTCCTTCCTTCCTTCCTTCCTTCCTTCCTTCCTTCCTTCCAACAACCCAGGGCACTGTGCCACTGAGCTACATCCACAGCACAGCATGCACTGTATGCTCTCTCTTTCTCCATGTGTGTATATGTATATGGAGAGAAAA